CAGATTAAACACATACACTGATCAATCTGTGTGTGTGTAGGTAGAGGATGTTAAGAGCGAGCTGATGGAGCGTTATAAAGTTCTGCCCAGCCTCAGCAGTCGTCTTGGAGAGGTTGAGACTCAGAATGAGGAGATGAGAGAAAAGATCAGACAGCTGGAACAGAAGGTTGTCAGTGTGCAGGTGAGAGCCGTGACCAAGCAGTGGTTTTATTTTCTTTTGAGTCATTTGGTGAAGCTAAAAATAACTTCTACTTTGCATAAAGTGACGCAAGTCTGCTGTGCTGTACTGTGCAATACTTCAGTCTTACACATGCTTTTATGTTTTAATGCCTTTGCTTTGTGACATGCCTTCTACAGTGGGCTCAAAGTCTGAGACCACATTGAAAATTAAACCTGGAAAAAATGAAAGCTTTTGGATTTTGAATAATTGAAAGAAAGAAACATTATTCTGTGAATAAGAAACATTAATTATTAAACAAATTAGTGAATGTGTGACATTTAACATGTTTTATACAAAAGGGATAGGTCCCTTTAAACTTTGTATAAAAGGTTGTTAGATTATTTGCTTTTATTGAAGATACTCTTTGGAACATTTTTTAAATGTTCAGCAAAATGAGGACATACCAAATACTAAAAATTCTGAAATTCATATCCACGTTTCAGTTCAACATTTTACTCAAATTGTTATGCTGGTACAGTAGATGTGATTTTCATAAATTTCAATTTTTTTCCATTATTGTTTTTTTTATTTTTATTATTAATTAATTAATAATAAAAAAAACAACAACAGTGATCTTAGACTTTTGGACCCCACTATATAATTTTCATAAATTTCAATTTTTTTCCATTATTGTTTTTTTTTTAAATGATTAATTAATTAATAATAAAAAAAACAACAACAGTGATCTTAGACTTTTGGACCCCACTATATATTGTTCCATGTTTTTCTGTTTGTTGTTTGATGACAGTGACTATGTAGAACCTCAATGCAAAACAAATTTCTGTGAGTCAAAGAAGAAATTACAAAAATAAACACTACTGGTCAAAAATTGGGGTTTTTATATATTAAGTAATTTTTTCTTTAAGAAATTAATACTTTTATCCAGCAAGAACACATTAAATTGATTAAAAGTGACAGCAAAAACATTTAGAATGTTAAGAAAGATTTCTATTTCTAATAAATTATGTTCTTTTGAACCTTCAAGTAATGCTAAAAAAATTTATTACGGTTTCCACAAAATTATAAAGCAGCACAACTGTTTTCAACATTGATAATAATAATCAGTGTTTCTTATTAAAATCAGCATAATGATTTCTGAACGATTGTGACATTGAAGACTGGAGTAATGGCTGCTGGAAATTCAGCCTGACCATCACAGAAATAAATTACTTTTTGATATATATTAAAATGGAAAACGATTATTTTATAGCCACAATAAAAATTCACAACATTACTGTTTTTACTGTAATTTTGATCAAATAAATGGAGACGTATTGAGCATAAGAAACTTAAAAAAAATATATTAAAAATCTTTCAGACACCAAACTTTTGAGTGGTAAGATATGTACTATACGATTTATTAAATATTTATACATTGTAGTTACATTATTAATGTATTTTCATGTTCAAAATAAATGCATCAAGATTTGACTTTAAATCAAAATTTTAACCCCCCCCTTTTTGGCCAAACTTAGATCTTAAAAACACAGAGACTCAGCTGTGAAATATTACAATCTGTGATTAAAACTTCAAGAAGTTCTCTAAATGTTTGTGTGTGTTTATGTATGTAGATGTTGATGAGCACTCACTCAGAGAAACTGCTTGAGGTTGAAATGGAGCTGCGGGAGCTTCGTCCTCTGCGAGCTATGAGGGAGGAGGTGGAGGCTCTGAGAGCGTCCGTGGAGAGCATGCGTTCAGTTGTAGCTTCTCTCGATTCGGGTCGTGTTGGTTCCAGTCCTGGTTCTCACACCCTGGGTGAGAAAATTTCATATACACCTGAATTATTATGCATTATACCAAGTACTTGTGTGTGTTCACAACATTTCTTTTTAACACATTTCAATACTGTCACCAGGCTCCTTAGAGCAGCAGCTCTCACGTCACGATGATACGATGAGTGTCCATGACATCCGCCTGGCAGAGATGGACCTGAAGCTGCAGGTGTTGGAGACGGCCAGCTTCAACGGTACACTCATTTGGAAGATCCGTGACTACAAAAGACGGAAACTAGAAGCCGTGGCCTCCAAAGCCCTCTCGCTCTACAGCCAGCCCTTCTACACGGGCTATTTCGGCTACAAGATGTGTGCCCGCATCTATCTCAATGGGGACGGAATGGGTAAAGGCACACATCTCTCGCTCTTTTTCGTGGTCATGCGCGGGGAATATGACGCCTTGCTGCCATGGCCGTTCAAACAGAAAGTAACATTAATGTTAATGGACCAGGGGCCAGCACGGAAACACTTGGGTGATGCCTTCAAACCAGACCCCAATAGCAGTAGCTTTCGCCGGCCCAATGTTGAAATGAACATCGCCTCGGGCTGTCCACTCTTTGTGGCTCAGACTGTCCTGGAGAACGGAACCTACATCAAAGACGACACCATCTTCATCAAGGTGACTGTAGACACCTCTGACCTCCCGGACCCTTGAATTCAGCTTCACTGGGTCCAGATAATATCAAGTTACGTAGCCCTCTCAGTCAAGACTTCGAAGAGCAGGGCTGAGAGAGGCAGAACTCAGGACAAGTTTGGGTTTATAACAGTCCGAGCCGTCAGCTTGTGCTCGTGAGATGGTGCGCTCTTCGGGAAACAACAGTGCCTTGCTAGGCTAGATAGTTTCGGCCTTTTGCAGGAGGTTTGAGCAGATGAAATCTCCCATGTCACTACATCTAAGATGCAGTGAAGAGTAATACGTCAACTCTAATCAACCAAGAGAATGTGAATGTCTCTGGATCTACAGGACGAGGTGAAATTGAAGTGAATGATGCCTCGATGATGTGTTGGTTGACTAACATCCAGCCCAAAGTAAAAGAAAGCTGTTTACACTCATCATCATGTTAGCCTTTAATGAGTATGAATGCATTTGAGGCTAATGGTCATCTCTCATACTGGTTGTCCTTCATGTTTGGTAATCATGACAAGCTTTGTATTGGTGTTTTTTTTTTGGTGGTTTTGTACAATATGCAAATATTGAACTGACATCTGTTGTGTTGTAGTGGTTTGTTGATGGACAGTTGATGTGGAGTGGAATTTTGTGATTAGAAAGTCTTGTTTGTGCGGGCAGAGGTGGACGTGTTTCTGTGTAGTCGTTATAAAGGACCTGACTATAGAGCATTCATGAAGGACTACATTGAGCATTCATGAAGGACTACATTGGCACTAAACAGTGACCCTGCAAGGGTTCCATTGTCTAAAAAGCAAAACCTCAGTTTTTATGCATGTAAAACCTATTCTTACATGACTTAACCTTTTCTGCGTTTACCACTTTGACACATTATTTTTTGTAATGTTCTAATTAATAGATGCTATGCATCAGAATCTATTGTCCTTTTGTGTTTTGTATTTTATTTTTTAAAACAGTCTAAAATAATGCCTTTATGCCTCCAGCCATGCTGCTAGAGACACATACAATAATCCAGATCATTTTTCATGGTAGGGATGGTTTTTGCACAAGTATTGTTTGAATGTGTAATATATGTATAAATATATCAATATAAAATTGTTGGAAAACATTCTGAATTCTGTTTTTATGGATGTCAAGTTGAAGTACTTTTTTTTTGGACCTGAGGGGAACTGAAACCTACCTTACTAGACTATGTGACTGCTTTTATTCCTCAGTGTGCAGTTAAGCAAATGTTTTGCTAGAAAAAGTATCAATTTAGAACTGTTTTTTTCTCACAAACTAATACCATTATACAAAAATATTGATTTTTTTTTCACCTGATGTCAGGTCAATAACAGTAATACCTATTTCCTATTGGACAAAAAGTAGCTTTTTTGTCTTGAGATACTGCTACACTTAATAATAATAATCATTTAAATGTATTAATTCTCAGGATTAATATCTATAATTAATACCTGGCACCAATAACAAAAATAAGAGGTTTATATGTGAGAGGTCTAAACAATAATTTACACCTAATTAAAACATTAAGAATTTTTTTAAGAAACTTTGGTAGCCTTTGAATTGGAAATAAACCATTTAGAGTTTTACTTTTACTTTACTTTTACTTTTAGTCATTTAGCAGACGCTTTTATCCAAAGCGACTTACAAATAAGAAAAAGTAATTAAAACTAAAAGCTAAAACTCTATAAATACACATTTAAGAAAATAAAATAAATTCAATATATATATATTATTTCATTTCCATTTTCATTTCGTTTTAAAAAGTAATTATTTAGACCCATCCTAGCTGAACAATTAGGGACAACAATAACATACTGTTAATTCATTGCTGACCACTAGGTGTCGTAAATGTACAAGCATGACTGCCCACTGTCTGACGGGATGAGCTAACGGGGAATTTCGGTCACAGTGAAACCCCATAAGCAGGAGCTATACAAAACGTATATACTGTTAATACGTGTATCTGCTTTGTCAAAATTTGGTTTAAAATGCTTCTTTAAACGTTCTTTAAAATATCCTGCGGCGCTTTGTCAAACAATTTAAATTAGGTTTATATTTATGTACTGCGGGATGATTTCATTTCAAGGATTTCATTTCTCAAAATGCGGATTTCGGTTCTCGCCATGTCAGCTACTTTGTTCCTACCCTTCTCTTTTTCACTGAAAAGAACTAGCAGTCAGCAGTGCCAGTGCCTACAGAATCACTGCTCCCTAACCACCCCACCCTAACAACCCGCCCTCAGCAGCGGCCAGCGGGAGCTCTCCAGTGTGAAACCAGTGCGTCACTCCAGCTCATGAATATTCAAACCAGCGTCGTGAGAAAGAGCGCGCCACATAAAAGGATACAGGTGAGGTCACGGCGACACACAGCTGGACAGTCCGCGCAGAGGCCAGTAGACGGGGTAGTGTCAATACTACAACAAACAAACAAAACAAAACAAAAAACAACAACACTGGGACAGTTTTAAATTCCTCAAGTATAAAAAGGGAACTAAGGTTGCATCACGTATAAAAGAGCTCTGCGAGGAACGGCAACATGTTCACTTGGGTAAATAAGGAACAGGGTGGAAGGAACAAGGAGGGAGACATGTTTCAAACGGTGACTGAAGGACTTCAGAGTCTTTATGCTAAAAAACTTCTGCCTTTGGAGGAGACCTACCTTTTCCATGACTTCCACTCACCGGCGCTGGAGGATGCGGACTTCCAGAACAAACCTATGGTCCTGCTGGTCGGACAGTATTCCACAGGGAAGACCACTTTCATACGGTAATGCATGGCTTTGACAGATAGGTGCGAGGCAACAAAACACGAAGTAGTATACTTTTCTGTAAGCGTTCTTAACTTGAATGAATTGTAATGTCTAGTAAGTCATGAAACGCATTGCAAAATTATTATAATATTATTAGACACAAGTATTTTTATTGAGACTTTTTTTATTATTGTTTATTTTTCATGTATTTATTTTATTTGTATTTAATTTCTCAAAGAACAGCATGTACACGTGTGAAGTTCAGTACAGTCATCTCTTTGTGGTGGCTGCAAACCCTGGCCAAGGGGGTGTGTAAAAACAGCTTATGTCAGCTCACATTCATCTGTGAAGAGATGCAGAAGGCTGGAGAGTATGCAAACAACTCATAAAAGCATCATTATTCTTCTTACTGGCTTTTCACTGTAGGTCAATACCATCCAGCTTTGATGTCTGTGCTGTTGCTCATCAGGTCCTGTTCTAGACAGTCTCTGAATGAATGAGAAAATCCAATAGCTCTGTGTTTCTTGTTGAACTCCTCAAACTACAACTGGCTTATACTAAATCAGCCATTCATAATGTAAAAAATAAGGTCATAATTAAAATTTATGGATATTTAAACACTGTATTCCAGTTGAATGAAGTATATAGCCCCTGTCACACAGCACGTTGATCCCGGAAAGTTGCCAGAGTGCCTTCTGTGTGAACGCAAAAATGTCCCGGGACTGATCACGGGATGGGGACTTAGTAGCATTGCTGGGATCAGTCCCGGAACGGGCCCTGTGTGAACAAAACGCAGGACCAGTGCCGTAAAGCAGGGGCAGATACATTTGCACACATTTACCTAGATCAACCTTCAGGTTCCTTTTTTTTGTTGTTGTTGTGATGCTTGCTGCTCGACAATGTTGCCCCATAGTTGTGTCCAATGTCTCTACATTTTTCATGTACATGTTATAATGGCTTTCTTTCATGTTGTAGACCACAAAATAGCAATTGATTTACAGTTGAGATACAGGTTTTCACAAAAATAAAATAAATTATAAAATGGTAAACCTCAAAATTGAGCCTTTAAACCATTTTTAAGAAAAGGGATGAGTCAGAAAAGAATGATAAATTATAATATATTTATTTAAAACGGGATTATGTGGGTGGACTTTTGCATTGGTCTGAACAAAAACTGCATACTGGATTATTGAAAATGAACATTCATTCTCTGCCAGTAGGAGGTACTTTTGGAACATCAAAAATATAGTGGTTTCCCCGGTAATGGCTGTAAACAAAGCAAAAAAAAAATATTGAAAAGGAAATTATACATTTACACACCTAAGGATTATATAAACCAAAAAAGTAACTGCGTGTGCGTCCTCTACTTGGGTCCTTCTCAGAGTAAGCGGCATTTAAAACAATAAACATATAATACGCACTGTTGCTCAATATTTAATTACAACTTCAGATGCATGATATTTTCATTTGCTACAAGTAGGATACACAAGAAGCACGTTCAACGCGGACACGCAGATCATGAAAATCGTACATGAAAAGCATTTTAGGGGGCCCTTGGCTTTTGGGGGCCCAAGGCAGTCGCCGACCTTTTCCTAATGGGAAAGTCCGCCCCTGCAGTAAAGGGTGGGTCGTAGTGATGATTATCGTGCGATTTTTTTACCGTGAGTTTTGAAGGCAGATCAACGTTCACGACGAAAAAAAAATATGTGCAAACTGGAATGAAGCAGAGATCAGGCAGCTCCTCACTATGTGCACTGATTGTTCGCCAGCTTAGAGAAACGATACGTGTTACATTCTATTGGATGTGTGTGAACCACTGATCTATAATAGAGAACATGCACAGATTCCCGAAAATCACTGGCAGTGTGAATGAACCAAAATCAAATGATCCCGGGACACATTATCCATGTATTTTCCGGAATCTCTGTGTGAAAGAGGCTTTTGAGTGCTAGAGGCGTGTTTGTATTGTTTTTTTCACCTCCCCTCGAAAAATGTTTTTCTTGTCTCTTTCATGAAAAATTTGCACAAAGGAGTAATCCAACCATATTTAACAATGAGCACAGTCTGATTTATAGTTCCCTTATGTTTTTGTTAGATTTTAATGACAAGCCATGTGTGTTTCTTTGCTTGGAAACCTTTGACACTTTCTCATCCTCTGGCAGGATGTGCTAGGGATCTATGCTATGGCTAGGGAGTTACAGGAAGAGTGAGACTGATGAATAGGTCTGTTTTTACATTCTAGCATTCGTCCAAGGGTTAAGTGCCACTGTTTAGCTTTGATCCTTGATCAGCTTGGATGTTTATTTAACTGCACAGTGTCTCAACGCTAAATGCTATTGGGTAACATTTTAAATTAATTCCCTGCAGCATTTATTCCATTAGTTTTTATTCTCACCCAACCATGACATTTTGTTAGCGTGTGCTGTCACATAGTCATGCCACTCCAGTTCACTAAGTAGTGGTTTGTTAATACTTAACCTCTCCCTCCTGCAGGTATCTTCTGGAGCAAGATTTTCCGGGGATGCGAATTGGCCCCGAACCAACGACAGATGGATTCATAGCTGTAATGTATAATGAGAACGAGGGAATTGTTCCTGGAAATGCTTTGGTTGTGGACCCCAAGAAACCTTTCCGCAAACTCAATGCATTTGGAAATGCCTTCTTAAACAGGTAAATATCAAGAGCCCAATCCCTACCCTTTAGATTTAAGTTTCAAAGATTGTGACTGTAGTATTTCAATCAAGTGTCTGAAACATATTCTTTCTCAGAGTCTCTTTGCTTGCTCAAAAGATTTCAATCTTGTCATATTAAAAGGGAAGTTCAACCAAAAATGAAAATGGCCACCAATACTCACCCCTCATGTTGTTTCAAACTGAAGACTGTCATTCATCTTTGACTGTCGTTCTTTGAAACACAAATGAAGATATTTTTAATGAAACCTGAGATATTTCTCTCCCTCTACTGAAAGTCCTTTCCACCTAAATTTTGATGCTTTAAAGAGATCGTAAAAGTAATCTATATGAATCAAATGGTTTAATCCAAGTCTTCTTGAATTTATAATTTGAATATAAACATTGATCAAGGCACATACATAAAGTTTTTTGCATGAAACAAGCACATTTGAGCTTCGGCTTATCCATTTTTGCGTGAACTAACACTTCAACACCTCTAAAAAAAGTAAAATGGGGCTGAATCAATTGATAACACCATATTGATAACACCATATATATGTCATGCAGCAGGGAATTCAAGGATGTGGGCACATATTCTTACTCGCTACATTATATATCACATATGCCTCTTTCCCAGGCCGTTGCCAAAACAAATTGTATCTTGTTATCTTGCTCTGGCAGTGGTATAGGATAAGGAAATTTGTCTGGAATGGCCTAAGTACAGATTAAAGTTTACAAAAGAACATGCATTCACTAAATACACATTATGTCACATTGCTTTGTAGTTTTGCAGTTGTCACTTTACATTCCATTAGGTTAAAATGTTTTTCTACCCAGCTCATTCTGCTGCTCATTCATTTCTTCCTTTCATCCCACGCAGCCTGCTTTTCTATTACAGGCAAATATTTTTCTCAAATAAAGTGTCTCAAAACTGTGTAAGGTCACTTCTCCTTTTAGTTAACTATAGCTGTTGCATGAGCTTCCACACATTTTTATGTTTAATTTTAGTACCTAGACAGTTAGACAAAGGTTTTTTTTCCTGTTTGCTTGATATTTATGTGAAGGGGAAATGGGGTATTACTTCTTTGACAGTGAACATAGTAGAGGTCAAAGGACCACTTGACAGAGAACATCTCCTCTCCTCCAGAGGAACCTCAAAACAATGCACTTTGTTTCCTGTGGACCCTGTCGTGCGTCATGTGATGGCACATTTGGGCACAGCAGTTTCTTTTTCTTAATCTCTCCTCACTTTTATCTACTGGCTTTTTTGAAAAAAAAAATGCATGTGTAATTTTCTTGAAAATTAAACTTGGTTGAATGCTTCTTCTATTTCTCAGCATGTCCTTCTGCTTTGCAGCTGACAGGTGATGTTTGCTTACAGATGTTGCAATTTCCTCTAAGGATTTATTTAAAAAAAAAAAAAAAAAAGACATCCTCAAACTCACTTGAGACAGTATTGCAATCTTAACATCACTATAATATTCTCTCACATGGAGATTTCTAGATATAAAGTTAAACAATAGTTTTAGTCACATTATAAATGTATTATACATTTGTTGAATGTCTGTGTCGTACTTTTTAAAAGTCATTGCCCCAAGGTTGTGGAGTAATTTACCACTGTCCAAAAGGTCCTTCACCTCAATCAACATGTTTAAAACCCTCCTTAAAACTCATTTGTTATCTTTGGCCTTGATTGCATTGTGTTCTGGATGGATGCATTTTTGTTTGTTTCTGTTAATATGAGGTCACATTAACAAAATATTGGCAACATTTTGTGAGCAAAAAAGTTCCACTGTCAGTAGTTTGGCGATGCATGAAGCACAGCTTCTGCAACGGTAAATGTGACCACACATTTATTTATTTTAAGTAAGTCCTGTTTAATCTGAAGTTCATTGTACAGCTTGTTAGTCTCCTTTTGTTTTTTATAAAGTGACTTTCACTTATTTGGTAACCAATTGTGGTAAGATTTATTCTCGTATCTTTGAAAGAATTTGAAGAGAAAATGTGTCTCAGCTGTTATATTTTCCCATGACTCAGATCAAATGAGTCAACCGACAAATGTAGTGATACTACCAGCATTTCCGGTGATAACATGAGGTGATGAACTCTCTCCATCTGTCTTGTCAGGTTCATCTGCTCACAAATGCCCAACCAAGTTCTGCAGAGCATTAGCATCATTGACACGCCGGGGATTTTGTCTGGTGAGAAGCAGCGCATAAGCAGAGGTCAGTGGCTGCAATGAGTGTTTACTGTACAGGAGGATGTTCACTCTAGTCTTTGTAGTGTCTTTAAGCCAGTCCATCCTGTATTGTATGACAAACAAAGACCGGGAGTTACGCACAGACTCTGTCACATGGCCACACACATGCAATGGGATATCAAATGACCAAACGGACACCATCAAATATACCCCATTCTTCTTTGACAGTCTTTTCAAGGGCTCCTCCAAAGATGTTTATTAGAGAAGAGCTGTTTGTTAAAGGGGTCATCGGATGCCCATATCAAGTTGATATGATTCTTTAGGGTCTTAATGAAAAGTCTATAACATACTTTGGTTAAAATTTCTCAATGGTAGTGTAAAAAACACCCTTTTCACCCTGTCAAAATCAGCTCTGTTTTCAGCACGCTATTCTAGTCCGTGTTGCTTTAAATGCTAATGAGCTCTGCTCACCCCACCCCTCTCTTCCTTGGGGTGATGAGCAGACTGTAAACTTCAGCCGCGAAACTGGCTGACTAGCACATTATTAGGAAAGGCGATTTGCAAAGATTCATAAAAAAACCCTTATACTCACTTCTTCTGTTGATGAAGCTGGATCACAAATGATTCGCGCGAACTTAAACGCATTTAGGCAGATCGGGGATCGGCACATTCCCTTCAAAAATTAAAGTAATGTTAATCCTCTGCGTCTTCAGTGGCTCAGATGTTGGGAGTAAATGACGACTGCTATGTTCATTTTTACATCCAGCAACAAAACACCTCAATCGCTTAATCGGAGACGTTCTTGTCTTCCCCTGCACCGGAGTCGACACAATGGCGGACAGCTCTTAGCTCACTCAGGGCGGGTCTAAGGTAAGACAGCCTTGTCAATCAACTATTGTGGGTGGGGCCTGTGCTGAACTACGTCATTCTGACAGGAATCTCAGAACAGCCTGATCTGAGAAAGGGGATTTGAAAATAGGGATTTGAAGAAAAAAACACTGGGTGGATTTTTATCATTATAGGGTGGATGTGTACACACACTTCCAACACACATTTATGTTCAAACAACAACAAAAGTGAATTTTGCATCCGAAGACCCCTTTAAGGTGAAACTAGTCATGACTGGATGCTTAGTGAAGGGAAAATAATGTGAACTCTGCTGTTTAGCCTTGGCAGAATTCTTCATCTCTGTGGCTATTTCCCATTGAAAATAGATTTGGTGTGATGCATTAGAGCAGACAGGCTGGTTCACTCCCTGGAGGACTGAAGCTCATGTTCCCAGTATAAGGAGCAATCATAATGCTTTAGTCATTAGTTTTCATTTTAGTCACCAGATCTGGCCTGTTTCATTGTAAATTTCCTCTGTTGTTTCCATCCCTGTCTCCCATTACATGACACCAGCAGACCTGCTGGAAACGGTGATGAGTCTGGTGTTGTGAAGTCAGCATTTCTCACTTTCTTTTTCCTCATTTCAAAAGCATGAGTTTAGCTTGCCAAATACACTTCAGGGTTTACGTCAGCATTCTGGTAACTTAACATGTAGCTGGTGTTTATGTGTTACTGGATCATCAATTAACAAAACAAGCTGCTACATGCTTTATTTCACATATTTTTTTTAATTTTTATTTTAACTAAGAAGGCAGAGCACGTCTGAGAGGTGGCCAAGCAATTTTTAACAGTTGTGAGATATGCCTGTTCATGCTGTACAAGTGTTATCTATGAAAATTCACAGCAGCAGAGGTACAGCGCGGGTATACGCAGGCTCAGAGGGTCTGCAGACTACAGATTAGGCCTAGTGGCACAAATGTACGGCCGCAGCTTTGGCCATGAGGGATAAAACACATGGGCGTACCACATCTGTTCCTGCTTTAGCTCCACTCAGCTGAGGTTGCATTCCTCTTACGTTATCGTCTCTGACACATCTCACGATGCACCACTGAACATGTGCATCAATCATATTTCATTTCTAATATGACTATGAATGTTCAAAATTGGAAAAAAAAACTGAATTTTACACCCAGACATTTGTGTTGTGCCTGCTTTAAAATTTTCCAATCTAGATTTTGTAAATGAGTGCAACAAATTTTATTTAGGCTGCTCTTTATAAAGTGATTAAATAATTTTAAAAATAATGCTGGTAAGTTGACAACTTCTGGTGTGACATGTTATACTCTACAACCATCTGTTTTTTTCGACAATTTTAAACAGTGTATTGTTGATTTTTATAATTATAATGCATGAAGTTTGGACTGTTTGTACTTTAAAAAAGTATTCATCACACTGTAGGATCAGTTAAATTGAACTGTGGCAAAAAGTTATTAAAAATGGTTAAATATTTTAAAAGAAACTGTTACTAGTTATAGGACCCAAGACATAGATGGACCTTTTATATTTATGTAAATTTTTATAAAAATTTTTGTATAATTAAAAAAAGGTTAATTTAAAGTCCTCCTTCTGTACAAAGTTGCCTTACATGGAACAGCATTGATGGTTCCCACACTCTAAGCACCGAGCTCCTCCTTTGTAAAATCTTGGCAGAGCTTTTTGCGAAATTTTTATAGCTATGTGTAATCCATGCCATTGTTGTTGGAGCAGCGTAATTTCCTCATGACTGTTAGGTGGTTGGATAAGCTGGATCTCATTGCTTTAAAATTATGCATGAAGGACAGTTTAACATATTTTCCAGTCATGAAATACCAATTTCAAATGAATTGTGTGTGTAATGTTTCCACAATGAGTGTTTTAAATATTAAGTTTGGTCTTGGATCTTTGTATTTTATTTTTTTTATTGAATTACAGTGGGTGTAGAAAGCATCACCCCCCTCAAATAATTACATTTTGTTGCTTTGCAGCCTGAAGTGAAGACGGACACAGTTTTTGTTTTATCCAGCTGTATTTACTCAGTGCAACTTGTAACATCCAAATGAAAGATATAACACCAACATGTCATAAAAAAAAAAAAAACCTGAATCCCTGAGTCCACAAATGGGGACAG